ACCGAAAAAAAAAAAAAAAAAAAAAAAACTGTGAAGTAGGAGTGGGGGAGCGGTCCCTCTTCCATTTTTTCACATCAGATAATACACCCACGGCGTGTTAATAAGACTAAAGCACCGGTTTTGTTAATAAAGCTAATGTACCCATGGCGTCTTGGTCTTCGATCTTTTGGCCACGTTTAATTTATTAATTTAAAATTTTAATTTATGTTAAGATATAATTTTATATAAAAATTAAATGTAATTATTTTTTAAAAAAATTTACTGTAATAAAATTTAAATTTTAAATTTAAATGGGTAAAATATAAACCGGACGTTATTATTTTACCAATTTTCTTTGGATTGAGAACGAAAAAGAATAAGGGAAAAAGGCAAGGACAGCTTCTTTACCTTGAAATTCATCCACTTCTTTTGAAAAAGTTAGGGCACAAATGTTGGAAGGCAATATATATTTTTTAATGGTAGAGAGTGATATGAGTACTTTTTTTAAAATGTTCTTGTCTTAAAAGTAATTTTATGCATCGGTATTTTTATAATATTAAAAAAAGATGTCAATATACGTTTTTCTTGTTTCTTGTCGTCATCAAGATTTTGTCCTTTTAAAATATTTTGTTGTTTTCTGCGTGCCTTGTCGTGGATTTGTGATGCAACAGATATGAGGAAAGAAATCACGAGGCAATTATTACGAAAGAAAAGTCAAAATTTTATTCTCAAAAGTTATAATAATTTTAAACTAGAGGTTCGTTTACCACCATAATTTAAATTAGAGTGATTCTAATTATAATTTTAAAATTTAAATTATGATTTATTATTTTTAGTTTAAATTATGATTTTAAAATTATAATTTGTGATTTTAAAATCATGATTTGAGCTAATTTAAAACATCACATCAAATTTTAAATCATGATTTATAATCATCTAAACTAAACACTGATTTTGAATCATGATTCAGAATCACTGTAAATCAACACTGATTCTAAACCGGGATCCAGAATCATGATTCTGGATCCATCTACCAAACGCACAAGTTTCTGGAATTGTTGGTCGAATATAAGCTAGTTTCTTTTTTTTTAAAATTTTGTAGGATTATTTATTTTCCCAATTTGATTTGTAGTTTCTTCTTACTATCTGAGGCAATTTATAAATATGTTAGTTCAATCACAAATAAGAGGAAGAATTTTTTTTATGAATGAAATTTAAGTGTTTACACTTTTTATTTTTTCTAATTTTCGGTATTATTTGTGAATTATCAAATCTTGATGCCAATTTTCAGTATTCTGTGTGAATCAACGAATCTTGAAGCAGTTTTCTTAGCATTATGTTTGAATCAACAGACTAATTGATCTATTTCTTTTATTTTATTTTTCATTTTTTTAATTAAGCTTCTGCTACATCAGTTTGTAAAGTTTATGTCGTTTTGTCATTGTGAGGTGGTTGTGGTTTTATTGTCTTGTTATTTTTAGGATAAAATTATTTTACTATCTAGTATTATAGCGAAATATGCTCTTGATATCATGTATTTCGATAATATTTAAACGGTACTTTGATATTTTTAAAAATATTTTCTTGGTACTCTGAAGCTAATTTTTAAGACATGTAATGTCCAAACTACCATTCTTATCAATTAAATAAAAAATAATATTTCTTAAAAAAAATATTAAAATATTTTAAGCCATTAAAATATTTAAAAGAAAAAATAAATAAAAAAGTTCATGATTTTTTTCTAGATCTATTAGATTTTGATTAATTAAATAGAATGATACTAAGGTCCTTTTATTTCTCAAAAATCAGCTTCAGGGTATCAAGAAGGTGTTTTTAAAAATGTCGAGGTACCAATTTAATATTATAAAAAACACGAGGTATCAAGAGCATTTTTCGCTATAACACAAGGTACCAAAATGTTTTTATCCTTAATTTTTTGTTTGGTTCAAGATTTTATTGTCGTTTATGTTATTTTTTAGGTTTTTTCTTTCCGTGGTCTTTTGTTTTTTCATTTTTGCTGTGGTTTTAAAGTTAAATGTCATTTTGAGGCTTATCCATGTCGGATCCTTGTTGTTTTAGTGTTTCCGTCGTCTTATTGCCTTGTTTGAAATTATCTTTTCCGTTTTGAATTCTTTGTCGTTTAACAATTATGATGTCGTCTTCACGAAATATTGTTGTTTCAAATCCTGTTGCTTCTCAGTTGTCCTCGTTTTTGTACATTACTATCGTTTTCAGTTGTTGTTTTCTAGTCATCGTCTTCCTTAAGTTGCCGTTTGTGTTTTCCTTGTCTTTATTGACTCGTTTACTTAACAAAATTTTCTTTCACCTTCAACCTGCCATAGTCTTTCTACATTCTCTAATATTTGTATCGAGGCAATGTTGAATTAGAAAACTGCGATGGAGTCCTAATTGAGTTTTAGAATATCAAAAAAAAAAAAAAAAAAGGAACTATCCTCACTGTATGATCATTCGGTAAGTCTGTTCACGACGTATGATGATGTGGTCCATAGGTTTATGAAGAAGATTAATATGTAGAAAGCGAATAATTAAATAAATATGGGTAAGAACAATTTTATAACTAATAAAAGATAGATTTTATCACGATAAAAAGATGAAATAAACAAAAAGATTAAAAGATTTTATCACTGATAAAAAAAACAAGATAAACAAAAAGCTACAAACATAATTTCTTTTTTTTAATAAATTATAGACTTCTTTACAGAACCAATATTTTGTTAATATTGATGATCAAGACTATTTTTGTAATCTTGATGATCAAAGTCTTGATCTCTGACCATCAATTGAATTTGATCATTAAACGATTGTTAATTTGAATCTCTAACTAGGTTACATAATTTAAATTAAAAAAAAAGGGGCCCAAGCAGAACATAAAAAAAGTGTTGAAATTTTATTGATTTTTTATGAGCAAAGTAGAAGAAGTTCCAATGGATTGTGTGTGAGTGAATTAAAGTGGGAAACCCAATCCCCAAAGAAAAAATGATTTATTTGTTACAATTTATATTGTTCTATGTTTCTATCCAGTACTTTTAGGTGATTGAATTCCAGCTTCTTTGATATCTTTTCGTATGTACTAGTTGCTCTTTTGTTTTCTCTTGTTCTTGTATGATCCGTTGTTGTTCTCCTTTTATTGTATGGTCACTTGTTGTTGTTCTCTTGTTATTTGTGTGGTCACTTGTTGTTGTTGCCAATGAAGCAAGAGCAAGAGGTATTTAATAGCTGAGCTATGTGGTGATTGGAGAGATTAAAAAAAAAAAAAATTATTTCTTTGGGGTTCCATTAGAGTGGGCAAATTAGGAAATCATTCCTAACCACTCCCATTCCTCTATTTTCCCACAATCCAATTAGCCTTCTTTTAGTACCATACCGCGAGTGTGTGCACCAATATTAGTTCCATTATTAATCCAAACCAAAATCTTCTTTGTTTGATACCATGAGCAGCCTCCACTTGCCTTTAAATAAAAGGTTTTTTTTTTTTTTTTTTTTTTGGTTGGCTTTTGTTACTAATGGCCCCCCCCCTTTGTCTTTAAAAAAAAATTTTTTTTTTTTTTTTTTTTTTTTTTTTTTTTTTTTTTGGTTGGCTTCCTTATACCGTGATTTGTAGAGAACAGAGCTTGCTGCATTTAGAGCATCTTTTTCATATACTAGTTAAGCCCACGTGAATAATAATTTTATAAATTTGATATTGAGTCAAAACACATAACCTCTTTAGAAGTTCACTTCGTTAATTAGAGCAAGAGTTTAAAATATCATATATCCGAAAGAAATTAAGGGTGTGTTTAGTAAGGGGATTTGTACCCTGATTCGAATCATGGTTCATGATTCGCTATAGTGTTTTCTCTCATAAAAAATACACGTAAATCAAAAATGATTTTAATCTCATGATTCTAATCCATGAACCAAACATCTCCTAAAATTATATAGGAGTTTCTGACCAAGAAAAAAAACTTAAGTATAGGGACATATTGAAAGGAATTATTTTAATTAGTTTAAGTATTTTTTTAACTATAAAAAAAGTAATGGTAAAAAAATGTTAGGGAAAAAAGTCAATTAGCAACTAAAAGAAGAAACAATAAAAAAAGTTAAAAAAATAAAAAAAGATAAGACAAGGAGATGTTAAAAGAAAAAATAAAAAAAATTAAAGTTATATAGGAGTTTTTATAAAAAAAAGTAAGGACATATTCGAAAGGATTATTTTAATTAAAAGAAACTATTTCAAAGAATGATATTTGTAAAAAAAAAAAAAAAAGAATTGTCAAAGAATATTAAGAGAAAAAATAAAAAAGACAATAGGCAAAAGAAAAAAGATAATTTTAATAAAAAAGAAAAAGAAAAAAGAGGAAAAGTTTAAAAAATAGAAGGACAAAAATAAGAAGAAGAAGGAGGCCAACACGTGGCCTCCTATGTTGACTTGGCTGCTCTTATAAATGCTAGATTGGATACATAGACAGTCGTTAAAATGTTAAATTATAAAAGAGCTCTTAACCAAATAAAAAAACATAAAAAAAAGACTAGAGAAGAGCAAAACACGTAACAATAATTAAACGGTATAAAAACATTTATAAAATAAAAAATATTTAAAAAATAAAAAATAAAAAGTATAAAAAGTAGAAAAGAATAAAAAAAAAAAGAGTGGAAGAGTTACCACATGGCAATTTAGAAAGTGCTTTAATAGAGCACTATAAAAAAATGTGTATGAAGATAACTTTTGATATAATAAGAATTACACATAAAATAATTAAGTACAAACACATTTAAAGAAAATTATTTTAACTATTGATAAAAAAAATTAAATAGAAACACATGCAAAAAAAAAACATTCATTGGAGCAAAGTGGGGAAAATTTCTTTAAAAAATATATACGTAAACAAAAAACATAAAAGAACAAAAAATTTAAAAGATAAAAGATAAAAGACAAAAATTTAAAGAAGGAAAAGAAAAAAAGAAAAAAAGAGGAGGAGAGAGTGTACTCTTTTATATATTGTCCCGTTTACTTCGCTGATTCGAGTTTATAATTTGAGTTGAGATGTGATTTTGTATGAGAGCTTTTTACTGTAGCAAAAAAGTTAGATGTAACTGTTTCTGAGAGCTTTTTACTATAACAAAACTCGAATTCTAAACTCGAATCGACGAAATGAACGAGGCCATTTTGCACTCCCGGTTACAATTTTATCCACTTTCGTTTATGCAGGAGCCACCGTTTACAATCGGATGGTCATTGTCAATGAAATTCATAAGAAGAAAAGAAGACAAAATACTATTTACAATGTATGGGTGGTTGATTTTCACCCATTATCTTTTACTAATATATTTTAGTTAAAGAATTATATTAGTTAAAAAACTATTAATTAAGAGTAAAATGTAAAAATATTATAACACAATATTCAGAGGGCGAGTTTCTTAATTTTCTCATTTATAATGAGAATGAAGATAAATACTTTTTAAAGTATATGAGTCTAAATTTTTATTATTCTTTTTTAATTAATATTTTTTTATCAAGTATCTATATTAGTTAAAAAAGTATTAATTAAAAATAAATTGGTAAAAATAGACTGCGTGCAACTTGTGCAGCAATTTTCTTAAGGGAAATAGTAGAAAATAGGCCAATATGAAAAGCTTAAGAAAGTATATAGGCCAATTTTTAGTTATAAAAATTAATAGGCTATAACTTGTCAAGTTATGGTTTATAATCAAATAAGTTATGAATAAACTTGTCAAGTTATGGTTCATAACCAGACAAGTTATGGACAATAACTTATTAAGTTATGGTTCATAACTAGACAAATTATAGATAAAAACAATAATTTAACCTATTTATTAACTTATATAAACTATTGATCTATTAATTTTAATTCACTTTAAATCTTAACTTATTTCCCTTTTTCTCTCTTTTCTTAATTTGTGTAGTTTTTAAAACTTTGATCCCGTTGTTAGGCCCAATAGGCCCGCCAAGTCCAGAATAAAAGAAAAAGAAATGGGGCATTTTGAAGAATGTAGATAATATGAACTCCCATATTGTTAACACTACGGTTAGTAAACTAGTGTCACAGTGTGATTTGAGAAAATAGCAGAGTACAACGTGAACTAATAATTATCGGATTGCGTGGGGTGTTTGCCTTCTCTGAATCTGATCCACATTACAATCATCAAAGATTATTTAGTTATTTATTTTTTAAATGTGTTTTCGACGACTTTGGTTGTCATTTATTTTCATTCACTTTCGAGCTTGTCTGTTTGTTCATGCAAGCATTTACTGGCGGATTTAGTGGGGCTACCGCTCCTACTTAAATTTTTTTTAAAAGAATATTATTTTTAAAAATTTTAAAATTTTATACTTAAATTTTTATTGAAATAATATATGTTTCTATTAAAATAAATATATATTTTTTATATACCCTCATTAAGATAATTTATTTAAAATAATTTAGTATACGCTTCCATTAAAATAAAAGACCGGCTGGATTATTCATTCTTACACTTCTATCTCAGATTTTGCTTAGAGCATTGTTGCCCATGACGTAGGCAATGGAATTTATCATAATTAACCAACTGCTTTTTAATCAGCGGAGACTGACACCTATTATCAATTTGGTAGCTGACTTAATTAGTAGATATTGCTGGACTAATTAATCAGTGTCAAAGTTAAATAAGATAATTTGTTACCGTTAATTTTAGAGTTCCAGAGTTTACATTTCACACGATAGGACCAGCCCATTCCGTTGTTTATTTTATATTTCTATTGAAATAATATAGTTAATCTTGTAATTAATGGTATTGTTCAATTTATGGGATATGTTCTATGAACTTTCCATGTATATAAATATGATCATCAGCTATCAGAGAATGGACATCTCAAACCTGTAAGCAATGAGAGCTCTGGTAAAAAAAAGGCGTCAAGTATTGTCTAACCTTTGGTATTGCTTATCCTCTCTCTCTCTCTCTCTCTCTCTCTCCCTTTTTTTTTTTTTTTTTTTTTTTTAAGTTCTGTCTCAATTTAGCAGGAGTTGAGCGTTGGATTGGCGTCCTCTTGTGAATAGGGAAACAAAAACAAAAAAAGAATTGACAAAAAGTTTGATTAGTGTGTTCAATGTATAACCACCCATTCTATGCTTCTAATCCCTTTTTGTGGTTAGAGACGTGGTGGACTTGGTTTTATAGAAGGATTTGGATAAGTATATATTCCATTGATTAATGGATAGAAAAGCAACTTTGGCTTGTTGATGCTGCGAATAAATGTGTAAGGAGTTTGCCATATTTTTCAGCCGAGTGTGAAACCTTTGACTATATGGTCCTTGCCTAGAAATGAATACAAAGGAAGACACAAGTTCAGTCATGTTGTCTATTCTGCTACTTCTATATCACCGATGGCAGTTCTCAAAATAGTTATTTTTGGTCACCTATAGTCAAAAAGTATGTTCACATAGCAAACGAGAAAATGATGAAAAACCATTTATTCTGATTGGGAAATCATGTAAATATGGGCTTGACGAGCACGCAAATTGAATGAGAGATATGCATCCAAACAAAATCTCGAACTAGAAATCAAATTACCAAATTTACTACGTACGCGGTACGCGGATGTTTCTCTTCCTTGATTTTTCCATGGTCAATCGGTCATTACATTTCTGTTTGTCTAGATGAATAGAATTTCCATCTAGACTTTCTCAAAGTCGTTCCACTGAATTTTCTTATCCTACTTATTTTCTTTTCCATATTTTCCACTTAATTAGCCAAAAATTTCTCCAACATCTTTAGCTTTAGGTGTAAGGCAATAAAGGTGCCTCTTAACTTCATTTCTCTCTAACTTCACAAGTACGCTCTAACTTCACAAGTACGTCAAGAGCATATCATGGACTCCCTAATTTCACTTTGCGTTTTCTGCCTCTGCATCTCTCTCTTCCCTTCCTTCACTACTCCTACCATACTATTTCAGGTATGACATGCACTATATTTTGTATTATCATGCGTTTTTAATTCTTACAGCTTTAATCTGTTAATTCTTCAGATCTATATTGTTCATATCTTGGAATTAATTGAATATAATCAAATATGACAGGGGTTCAATTGGGGTTCCAGTGATAAAGGAGGATGGTATAATTCTCTGAAAAACACCATCCCTGATCTTGCAGCTGCTGGAATAACTCATGTCTGGCTTCCACCTTCCTCTCAATCTGTTGCTCCTCAAGGTACTAGCTTAATCTCTATTTCCTTTTATTCATTACTGTTATTTTTCTAAAAAATTCGTTATTAGGAATTTTTTGCTTTCACTATGATATGACTATAAGCCTATTCGTGAATGAAGGTGTCATTTTTTTTTTTTTTTTTGCCCCAACAAATTTCGGCTTTTTTCTTCCTTTGAGCACTGGAATACAAAGGAAGAAAATCATTTTACCAATCCAATAAAGTGAGGTCAAAGTCAACTCACAGATAAGTAAAACGCATGAAATGGGCACTAGCTGGTCATTGAGGAGGGACTTATTTGTTTTTTCATTAGAAAAATTTGGAAAACCTTATATTTATCAAAATATCCTCTCCTCATTTCTTTCTCATCGCATGTTTATGCTCTTGTTACCTTATGTGTTGCATACAAAACATTATTTTTTTTTTCTCGTGTGTTTTTTTCTTTAAAAAAAAAAAAAACTTACAAATGTGATTTATCAGGAGCCAAACTCAAACTAAGAGGTACTAATGTGAAAAAATGTTATAACGTCCTTGCATGTTGGCTGCAGGCTATATGCCGGGAAGGCTATACGATCTGGACGCATCAAAATATGGAACCAAGGACGAACTCAAGTCCCTTATTTCATCTTTGAGCGAGAAAGGAATCAAGAGCGTGGCGGACATAGTCATAAACCACAGAACAGCCGAGAAGCAGGACTCGAGAGGAGTGTGGGCCATCTTCGAAGGCGGTACTCCGGACTCGCGTCTGGACTGGGGCCCGTCCTTCATCTGCAGTGACGACAAGACCTACTCCGACGGCACCGGGAACCCCGACACGGGCGACGACTTCGGAGGAGCGCCCGACATCGACCACGTTAATCCGACAGTCCAGAAGGAGTTGTCGGAGTGGATGAACTGGCTGAAGACAGAGATTGGGTTCGTGGGGTGGAGGTTCGACATGGTGAAGGGGTATGCTCCCAGATTTACGAAGATCTACATGGAAAAGACGCAGCCGGAGTTCGCCGTCGGAGAGAAGTGGGATTCGCTTGCTTATGGCCAGGATAGGAAGCCTGAGCAGAATCAGGACGCCCATCGCGGTGCTCTCGCTAACTGGGTTGACGCTGCTGGTGGCTCCGTCAATGCTTTTGACTTCACCACTAAAGGTAGACAAAAAATACTTGGGTACCAATAACGTTTAGCACTATAAATAGTAGAATTGTTATTTTCAATGTGGTTAATACAAAAAAAAAAAAAAACAAATTAATTAATTTTTATGGGATTACAACTGAAATTAGAAAGGGTACAACTAAATTTTACACAAAAATTAAGAGTAAAAATTCCAAAATGTAAATTTTGTAAATTTTACACATGTTCGCCGCTAGGTCTACCTCTGTGCATCTCACACTTTGTAAATTTTTAAGTGTTGGTTTGATTTGATTTAGAGTTTAAGGACATGTTTTTTTGTGTTGAGCGATGTTTTGAACCAACAAATGAGATCCAAAATAGAAAATAATAATGAGAAAAAATAATTTAATTCCGAATGAATGGATTATCAGGTATTTTACAAGCTGCTGTACAAGGAGAGCTATGGAGGTTGAGAGACTCCAACGGAAAGCCCCCGGGATTGATTGGATTAAAGCCAGAAAATGCAGTAACATTTATTGACAATCACGACACTGGGTCGTCTCAAAACCTGTGGCCTTTTCCGGGAGACAAAGTCATGCTGGGTTATGTTTACATTCTTACTCACCCTGGGACTCCAACAATTGTAATCACTCTATATTCTTTTTTTTTTAATCTGTTTTTTTTGCCCTTTTAAAATTTTGATTGGTATATTAACTGAATTGTGTTTTGCAGTTCTATGATCACCTGATTGAGTGGGGACTTAAGGACCAAATAAGTAAGCTGAGTGGAATTAGGACTACACATGGCATAAACAGCGGAAGCACAGTGAGAATTTTAGCAGCGGAAGCTGACATTTACATGGCAGGCATTGACGATAAGGTTATTATGAAGATTGGTCCAAAGTTAGACTTGGGGAACCTATTGCCCTCAAACTACCAACTTGTTACCTCTGGACAAGATTATGCTGTCTGGGAGAAGAAAAACTGATGATCTACCAAATTAATCTCAAACTACATTGGTTCTTTCTAAAGCAAAAACATTATATATCTATATATATATATATATAAGTCAATTAAGCATGCAAAAATAAGCAAAGCGAGAAGATTCCCTTCTTTTGTAAGAGTTGATATTTGCAATTGATGTATTTTTCCGCTAAGTATGGACAAAATCAATTATTATAAGATTGAATTAGTTCTCTGAGGGCCACTATTTTTTTCCCTTATACCATAAATTTCATTTTGTTTTTTATTTTTATTTTTTTGAGATAAAAGTCTATTATAGTGTGAGAAAAAAAAAAGAGATAAAATCATTTTAAGACCGTCTAATATAGCTAAATATCTTGAAAATATTATGTGATATTAATAATACTAAAATGACACTTCATCTTTAAAGAAAGGTTCTTTGGGTACAATAGTAATGCCACTGACTATTTCATCAGCGTTTGGCGTGTAACAACCGTCAAACTTTCGCGCCAAAACGACAGGCTCCAGAGTATGAACTTGGCCTCTTCAATTGGTCTCTCCACGAAGCCAAATCTCTCTTATTTCCACTCTCTGTTTAAACACTACGCAGAAACCAAAAATTCGAGACGGGTACTCCTTATTTTCCGTGAATTGTTGGAGTACAACGAGAAACCCAATGAAACCACTTTCGCTTTACTAGTGAAATCATGTTCTTGTTCCTCTTCGTTTGGATTAAATTCATTTGAAGCAAATCAGGTTCATACCCACTTGATAAAATCTGGTGCTGACCAATTCACACACCTGAGTACTGCTTATCTTGATTTCTACTTGAAGTTGGGATGCTTTGCGGCTGCACAACGCCTGTTTGATGATATGCACGAGAGAGATGTTGTATCTTGGAATGCTTTGATTTGTGGATTTTCGCGAAATGGGTGTCACTTTGATGCGTTGTATCTCTTTGTTCAGATGCTTAGAGAGGGATTTAGTCCTTGTCCGACAACTTTGGTTAGTATGGTTCCGTCCTGCGGGAGGCGTGAGTTGATTTTTCAGGGGAAGACTGTTCATGGGTTTGGAATTAAGACCGGCCTTGGTTTGAATTCTCAGGTGAAGAATGCGCTTACCTCTATGTATGCGAAATGTGCGGATTTGGGAGCGGCGGAATGCTTGTTTGAAGAGATAGTCGGTAAGAGTGTGGTTTCTTGGAATACCATGATTGGGGCCTTTGGTCAAAATGGTTTCTTTGGCAAAGCAATGCTTGTCTTTAAACAAATGAGGAAGGGAAATGTGGAAGCAAATCCAGTGACCATGGTGTGCCTTCTCGCAGCAAATGCTAATCCAGATTCCACCCATTCTCATGCTGTTAAAACCAGTCTTATCAATGATTTCTCTGTTGTTACTTCGCTAGTTTGTGAATATGCTAGACGTGGGAATTCAAAATCAGCAGAACGGCTTTACATGTCATTTCCCCAAAAAAACTTGGTTGCCGTAACTGCAATTATACAAAGCCACACGGAGAAAGGTAACATGTTATCTGCTATGGAATGTTTTGCTCGAATTCAACAGTCAAACATGAAACCAGATGCAGTTACTATGGTTAGCATCCTTCATGGAATTACAGACCCAGCTCAATTTGGCATTGGGCTCCTTTTTCACGGTTATGGATTCAAGACCGGGTTAAGTGTTGAGAACTTAGTTGCAAATGCACTGATAAGCATGTACTCGAGGTTTGATCGCGTGGAAGCAGCTTTTTCTCTGTTTTTTGACATGCGCGAAAAGCCATTGATTAGTTGGAACTCTTTGATTTCTGGCTGTGTACAGGGTGGAAGGTCAAGTGATGCTTTTCAGTTGTTCTGTCAAATGAAGCTGTCTGGACATGATCCAGATGCCATCACAATTGCTAGCTTACTATCTGGGTGTGGCCAACTTGGATACTTGCAATTTGGGGAGAGGCTTCATAGCTATATTCTGAGAAACAATCTCGACATTGAAAATTTCGTTGGAACGGCTCTAATAGACATGTACACCAAATGTGGAAGAATAGAGTGTGCCGAAAGGGTGTTTAAGAGTATCAAAGAGCTATGTTTGGCAACATGGAACTCGATGATTTCAGGCTATAGTTTATATGGCTTAGAACACAAGGCTCTCTCTTGCTTCTCAGAAATGCGGAAACAAGGACTATATCCAGATCACATCACTTTCTTGGGTGTTTTAGCTGCTTGTACACATGGGGGCCTTGTTGAAGAAGGAAGAAAATACTTTGAAATAATGAGGAAGGAATTCAAGATGGTGCCAAGGCTGCAACACTATGCCTGCATGGTGGGACTCTTAGGCCGTGCGGGCTTGTTTGAGGAGGCACTTATTTTGATAAAAGATATGGAGGTAGAACCTGATTTTGCTGTGTGGGGAGCTTTGCTTAATGCTTGTTGCATCAACCAAGAAGTGAAGCTTGGGGAATATTTGGCCAAGAAGTTGTTTTTGTTGGACCATACAAGTGGTGGGTTTTATGTGTTGATGTCAAAGCTTTATGCGACAAAAGGAAGGTGGGATGATGTAGCCAAGGTTAGGGAGATGATGAGAGAAACTGGTGGAGATGGCTGCTCGGGTATTAGCGTTATTCAGATGACTTCATTTGAAGAAAATTTATTGAGTGAAGCCAGTTTGAAATCAAGTCTTTGGTAGCGTTTGTTTCTCTTCTCAATTAATTGTTAGTTATGATTTTATTTACTTTTTCTCTGCGCTTATATTTTTTAATTAGGCATGAAAGTAGCTCGTTGATCTTAAATACAAAAAAGAAAAAAACGGCTGGACTGTTTTAACAAAAACAACACGTCGTTTCATAATAATCACCACAACAACTCACTAAAATAGTGATATAACGCCTTTATAGTTGTTGTAAAATAATTTATTTCCTTGGTAAATTAGATTTTAAATTTTTCTGAGATTTAATTTACTTTTACTTGTCGTTTACCTTCTTAAACGACATGACACTATTTTGTTTACAAGGAAAACGACACAAGAACTTAGTATAAAAAATATAAGGTACTTTAAAAAAAAAGAGAAAAGCTTCAATTATGAAGACACGTCGTTTCAAAAAGTTAATACAAATTTTAATTGCCTCGTTCATTTCACCGATTCGAGTTTTCAATTTTAGGTTTCTACAGTAAAAAGCTCTCAGAAAATGTCACATCTAACTTTTTCTGCTACAGTGAAAAGCTCTCAGAAAATGTCACATCTCAACTCGAATTGAAAATTCGAATCCGCGAAGTGAACGAGGTGCGACTTGCAGTTTTACTTGACAGTTACACGTAGAACCTGACATGTTTTGCGGAGTTTTAGCTCTTAACGACAATTTATTTTTATTTTTATAAGAATTTGAAGTTTTGAACTCTACATAGATGTGTAGTTTTACTAATGAAACAGAAGTCAATCCTACACGCTTTATGTAGTTTTAGCTTATAACGAAATAAATGAATGATGCTTGAATAAAAAACAACAACGTCCTAGAAACGACAAGTAATTTTTACTCTTAAACGACAACAAATTACGGAAGATAAATTACATCTCATTTTTTTTAGTAAGACTTTCTCCACTAGATCAAGTTTTCTGTCTGTGTAAAAATTAAAAAGTATGCAAATTTAACGGTTGAAAAAATTTAGTCTATTAGTATGTCAGGTGTATGAGAGAACCCTTTTTTATTATTGTCATTATTTTTAATTCCTTGAAAGTACAACATCTCGGATTTCGGGCCCGTTCGGTTCGTTAATTCGAGTTGAAATGTGATGTTGTGTGAGAGCTTTTTACTATAGCAAAAAAGTTATATGTGACTGTTTCTGAGAGTTTTTTACTATAGCAAAACTCAAATTCTAAACTCGAATCAGCGAAAAGAACAGGCCTTCACTAATTCAGAATATGTGATAACGATTAACTTGTAAGCAAGAAACGACATGACTTTCATGTAACTTAAGTGACGTTTCTAGATCAAAACGACAGCAAGTTATGCATGTCGTTTGTCATTAAACGACAAGCAAAATTTATAAGAGAAACTAATATGGCGTTCTCTAGGATTAACAACAGCAAAGTTTATATGTGTTCTTTTGGATTTACTTTACCGTTGTTGAGTCTCAATAGCCGACAATAACGCTAGAATGTATAATGTCTTGATTTTTTCACAATTTAATTATGAAACAAACGTAGCCTAAATTTCACAAAAAGAAATTTCTAGACTAAAAAAAATAAATTACTCATAATTTTTTACTTTTAGATATTTTTTTATCGGATGTAACGGTCAAAATTAATCTTGAAGTCTCTCTTGAGTGAAAGTTTCAAAAAAAAAACATGAAATTAAATTTATTTTGTCGGTAAAAAGGTTATTTTTCAGGAAAAAAAAGGATCGGACCGTTGCAAATGCACAAAACATTATTTATCGGAAATAGTTGGATGCCCGTTGCCCCACGGCTCCACTTTCTCTCCCTATTTCCCTAAAAATTAATATATTAAATTAAAAAAAATGAAGAAAGAGAAAATTTCAAATCCTCAACGCTCCGATTTTAAAATTCGAATTTACCGCTCTCCATAACCCCGATTCCCAAATTCTCAACATTTCATTTTCTCCACCTTCACATTTTGACCATAATTTTTATCTTCTTCTTCAATTAGCCCCAAATTTCTCTCTTTCTCCGCAAGAAAACCGCTTGGAAACGACCATGGGCGGTGCTCACAGTCGCGAGGATCTTGAAATCTCCGACTCCGACGAGGAGGAACAGACGGACGGGGAAGAAGACAACTACGAGGACGCCGAAGACAATGGAGAGGGATCTTCCGAGCGCCGATCCAAAACCCCACCCTCCATTGACGACGTGGAGGCCAGGCTCAAAGCTCTCAAGCTCAAATACTCCCCCGCCCAAAACCCTAATCTCAAAAACGCCGTCAAGCTCTACCTTCACATCGGCGGCAAAACCCCCAAGGCCAAATGGGTAACCTCCGAAAAGCTCACTTCTTACTCTTTTCTCAAGACTTCTCGTATTGGATCAGGCGACGATGACGATGGCGAAGAAGAAGATGAAGATGGAGAAGGTGAAGATTCTTGGTGGGTCTTGAGGGTTAGTTCGAAGATTCGAGAGAAGGTCTCTGCGGAACTGCAATTGAAGACTTTTGCGGACCAGCGTCGCGTTGATTTCGTGGCCAAAGGTGTTTGGGCGATGAAGTTCTTCAACGACGACGATTACAAGGCTTTCGTCGCCAAGTTTCAGGAGTGTTTGTTCGAGAACACGTACGGGTATGAGGCCACGGATGCGAACAAGGTTAAGGTTTACGGGAAAGATTTTATGGGCTGGGCGAATCCGGAGGCTGCGGATGATTCTATGTGGGAAGATGCGGAGGATAGTTTCGTGAAGAGCCCCCAGTTGGCGACGCCGTTGAGGGAGAATCAGGATTTGAGGGAGGAATTCGAGGAGGCGGCGAATGGGGGTATTCAGAGCTTGGCGTTGGGCGCATTGGATAACAGTTTCTTGGTGGGTGATTCCGGCATTCAGGTTGTGAAGAATTTCAGCCATGGAATCCATGGGAAAGGCGTTTATGTCAATTTTGATCGCGGCAGTTACAACCGTGGTCCGAGTTTGGCGCAATCAACTCCCAAAAAGGCTCTGCTTATGAGGGCGGAGACCAATATGCTACTCATGAGTCCTTTCAATGAAGGGAAGCCTCATTCCAAGGGGCTTCATCATCTTGATATCGAAACGGGGAAGATTGTTACTGAGTGGAAGTTTGCAAAAGATGGGACTGATATTGCAATGAGGGACATTGTAAATGACAGCAAAGGAGCCCAGTTGGATCCTACAGGTTCGACATTCTTGGGATTGGATGACAATAGGCTGTGCAGGTGGGATATGCGAGACAAGAATGGGATGGTTCAGGACCTTGCGGCTGGGGATGGCCCTGTTTTGAATTGGACGCAAGGGCATCAGTTCTCTAGAGGGACTAATTTCCAGTGCTTTGCAAGCACTGGCAATGGCTCAATTGTTGTTGGATCGCTTGATGGGAAGATCCGGTTGTATTCGAGCAGTTCAATGAGACAGGCGAAGACAGCTTTTCCCGGTCTTGGCTCGCCTATTACACATGTGGATGTTACGTTTGATGGGAAGTGGATTTTGGGCACGACTGATACCTATTTGATACTTATCTGCACCCTTTTTATTGACAAGGGTGGGAACACAAAGACAGGTTTCGCTGGTCGTATGGGAAACAGGATATCGGCTCCAAGACTGTTGAAGTTGACTCCTCTGGATTCACATCTAGCTGGAGCTGATAATAAGTTCCGTAATGCGCAGTTTTCTTGGGTAAGAACCTCTGTTCTTTGTCGTCTACACTTGGTTTATCCAGAAAATTGTCCGGTTTTTGTTGGGATATTGTTGTATCATTTCATTTCCTCTTGATATTGTATGTTATGCGTTCTTGCTGCTGATATTTGTTGGCATTCTTGAATCATGTATAAAGTAGGAATGATCAAAATTAGATGTTTCCCTTCGAGTTTAATGTAGGCTGTAAATTGTTTGTAAATGTTGGATTTTGCTGTGTTTTCTCATCATTGTTTAATGCTTATTATTGGTAGATACATGTTTGGTTTGGTTGTGCTTGGATTGGTATATGCCAAAGACCTATTTTGAGTTTTTTTTTTTTGTTTGATGAATTTTGAGTCCTAGAACTCACAGTTTCTTATTGGAATTAAGTGATTCCATGGATAAGTGTTTGAGAGTTGAACTCTTAAAATTGTGTTTAGGTCACGGAGAGTGGGAAGCAGGAGCGTCATTTGGTGGCAACTGTGGGCAAATTTAGTGTGATCTGGAACTTCCAACAGGTGAAGAATGGCTCGCATGAGTGCTACCGCAATCAGGAGGGCCTGAAGAGCTGCTACTGCTACAAGATTGTCCTCAAGGATGATTCCATCGTTGATAGTCGCTTCATGCATGACAAGTATGCAGTCACCGACTCACCTGAGGCCCCGCTGGTTATAGCCACCCCCATGAAAGTCAGTTCCTTCAGCATTTCCAGCAGGCGATGACGTTCAAAGTCATGATCCTTTCTTTACTTTGTTATCTTTCTCAGCTTTATTACTGAAGTTGCAAACGCTTTGTTTAGAACTTCATGGGTGTACCGTAGATTGTTTGTTTAACTAGGCCATTTAAATTACTGATGATCTCTAATTGTACTCTCTTGTGCCAAGAAGATCCTAGAATTACTTTTGCATTTGCGAGTTGTTCTGAACTTGTAATTACTTCTAGCTGTGGTATTTTTTTTTACCTCAAGAAATTGTGATGACAGTTTTATTTTATTTTATTTTATTTTTTCTTTTGTCTTTCTTAATCATTTTTAATCTTCTGTTGCTAAGGTGATAGAGTAGAGCTGACATTCTTTACTAGTGGAAAAACAATATTTTGGACAAGTCGCTCAATCTTGTAATATAATATAACATAATAAAATGGGGGGAAAAGGTTACTCTGTAATACTTGGTGCAAGATCAACTGAGAACCGTTGGATAGTAGTTTTATCAATATCAGGACACTATTTTCTTATCTGAATGCCCCAGGATTTGTATGTTTGTAACGCATGGCTACAAAGAATTGGGTAAATGAACCCATGTTGTTATGTCGTTTTGCTAGTGTAGATGGTTATTTATTTATATACGTGGAATTCGTGGACCTGGTGGCGTGTATGCATCTGGTTAGAATTTGGGGATAGAAAAAAAAAAAAAAAAAAAAAAAAAAAAAAGAATGGCCACTGCCTTTGGTAGAGCTCTCCACATTCCGTCATGTTCTTTATCGTTGGTTTGTAAGAACGTGTCAAAGCCCTCATTTGGAGTTGCAAAACTGCCATGGCCTGCTCAAGCAGGAAAAGCTCGAACTCGTACTCGTGTCATGGTGACTCGAGCCCAGCTACGCCCTACATGGCTCCCAGGGCTTGACCCTCCGCCGTACCTTGACGGAAGGTGATCCTGTTGAGTAACATTTTCATAATGCTTCTCATTAGCTTATAAGCTTGGCTTTTTAATTCTGTCGTTCTTTTTTCTTTTTTGGTTTTTGTAAATGGTGTCTTCATATATAGTCTGGCTGGGGATTATGGGTTTGACCCACTTGGTCTTGGAGAGGATCCGGAGAGCCTGAGGTGGTATGTGCAGGCAGAGCTTGTTCATGCCCGCTTCGCCATGCTTGGAGTTGCAGGAATTCTCCTTACAGACGTCAGTGATTCTGAACCCTTCCTTTTTAGCCCTCGTTTTTTTTTTCTTTTCTTTTTTTTTTTCTTTCCCTGTACATTATCTTTCGAGATATTCTTTAGACCCTTCTTATTGGCTCTACATAAATGAACTAGGCAGTGGTCTGTCTTGTTTTAAAGTGAGTGCAAGGAAAATCATATATATAGCTTTTGTGATTATGAAGTATTCACTGACCTGATTCAACTTCTACTGGGTGCTCCAATATTGTGCCCCAAGACTAAAGCTGTATTTCTGTAGGATTACGAACTTGTAATAACAAAGAAATTTACCCAACGGGTAGATCTTTATGCTCTGCATCAAGCAAGTCAGGCTTTGAAAAGCTATTCCTATTAACTCAAAATTTTGATTTTCTTAATGCTTGATGTTCTACTTGTTCTTCAAATGCTTTTCTCCAGTTGCTGCGTGTAGCCGGAATCAGCAGTATACCAGTTTGGTACGAAGCGGGTGCAATTAAATACGAATTTGCCAACACAGGAACTCTCTTCATAGTCCAACTACTCTTGATGGGGTAATATTTCTACCTAAGAAAGCATCACTGACCCTTCATTATCCAAACACACCTCTTTAAATTGTTTCATGCACTTGTAATTTATATCCGTATTTGCTTTTTTTTTTTTTTGTTTTTTTGTTTGGGATAGATTCGTTGAAACCAAAAGATACATGGATTTCGTGAGTCCCGGGTCTCAAGCCAAAGCACCATTTTTGGGAGTGGAAGATTCCTTTGAAGGTTTAGAGCCCGGGTAATTTTCTTAAGTCCTTCCGCAGTTAAATTTGAATCATTGAATGTTGCAAAAGCCTTGGCCTCTTGATCTGGACAGACTAGAAATGCTCGTGGAATAAATAAGTAAGATATCATCTGTGATTCACAGTTACCCCGGTGGTCCTATACTAAATCCTCTTGGTCTGGCTAAAGATATCAAGAATGCTCATCACTGGAAGCTTAAGGAAATTAAGAATGGTCTGATTCAGTCCTTTAATGATATATATATTTTTTTCACAAAATTTCATGATGATATATTCGCTATCGCGGTTCTTAAGCCGTCTCTTATTGCAGGACGCCTGGCAATGATGGCCATGCTCGGCATCTTCGTGCAAGCTTCTGTAACTCATGTGGGACCAGTTGATAATCTTGTGGAGCATCTATCTGATCCATGGCACAAAACAATTGTTCAAACGTTGGCCAATTCTAGTTCTTAAGATGCAAGTCAAAAGAAATTTAAAATTTGTCTCTCAGTGCAAAATACAGCACAAAATCAAGCGCAGATTATCTTAATTCGAATATATATATATATATATATATATTTGATACGTTTTTTACGCTGTTTCATAGAAAACAGTTATTATGGTTTATGACTGGTGAAGCAAGGGCGCCAACTTGGTCACAAAGCACACTTTCAGTTCCAGCTTATAAAACCTTAATCGCCGGTGACTTGTCCCATGTTACTTGTGCAATTAAGCATCCTTTGTATAACATGTTTTCTTTTTCATATGTTTAGGCTTAAAAAATAGAAAAACTTGAGAAATCTTTGTTGGGCACTAGTTAAAAAAAAAAAAAAAATTAAAATCTGGTTTGCTGTATAATATGTATTCTTTTTCATATGTTTAGGCTTAAAAAAAAAAGAAGCAAACATTAATACTATGTTTGGTAAGATAGATAGAAAAGATGAAGGAAAGAGAAGTAAAATACCTAGATAAAGAAAGTAAAATATTTTTCTCTCGTGCTGTTTGGTAGAAGAGAAAGAGAAGTGAAAAGAAAATGTCAAATTTAAAACATTTTACAATAATACTTCAATACAAATAAAAACATGATGAATGATAAAGGTTAAAATTGTTATTTTACATATTATTTTTTTGTCAAACTTTTTCCATTCTCTTTTCTTTCTAAAGTTAGAAAGATTAAAAATTAGTAGACCCTATTAATTTTTATTTTCCTTCATTCTTCATTTCTTCTTTACTAAACAACTTAAAATTTCATTTTTCTCTACAAAATTATTCATTTATTTTTTTTCTCTCTTTTTTCCACCGTACATAGACACTACAAGAAAAGAAATTTTCGTTGGGCACTAGTAAATAGAGAAAAAAAATCCGGCTTGCCGGATTCGAACCAGCGACCTAAGGATATCTGTCTAACGACTACAGTCCTCCGCTCTACCAACTGAGCTAAAGCCGGATTTACCTCCCTTGGAGAGCTAATTATACATGAAGGAGTTTTTGTTTTGCGCTAGAAACTTAGCACCTGAATGCTTTCAAATGCAATCCGTTTCTGTTGTATAGTGATTTTTTTTTATTTGAATTTAAGTCCGTTCATTTCACCGATTTGAGTTTAAAATTCGAGTTTTACTACAATAAAAAACTCTCACATAAAATCACATCTCAATTTAAATTAAAAACTCGAATCAGCGAACTAAACGGTTACTAGATTTATATATAATGATTTGTGACTGCTATATAGGTGAATTGTTGGTGACCTAAGTCTAACATGAGGTATTTTCTTCTTTTGCGCAGCAAAGCCTGTCGAGGACTGGTTTATGCTTTTGACTTCTCATGGAAACGCAGGTCGTTATGTAATATATCAAATATAAACTTGAAAAACGGCAAAACATGAAGGAATTGCCAAAGTCACGTTTACATGGTTTAATTATTTACTCATCAACTGTGATACAGAAATTCTAATTCATCAAAGTAAAATCAAATAGAATAGAGGAATCCAAGTAGATCACAAGAAACTCAAACCAAATCCTTTCATTAAGCAAACTCGAAAATGCTATTACAAGAGTAAACTTTCAGCATTTGAGGCCTATACATGACGGTCTCCGAGGAAAAAAAAATATTAAAGACAAGGCCTATACATTATAGAAGCACCTTATTCCCTCTTCTCAAGCATCTTTAACGAACATATTGCTCCAAAATCACCAGAAATATGACCACTTAAGTGAGAAAAATTATATGTCCAATCACCATATTGTACACTAAACAATCACAAACATGTACATTCAAGAAATTTCTGTCAGGTATACGATTCAGCATTCACATTTCACTGCAAGAGAAACCGCCAATAATAAGAATTACGACATTTTATCGTAACAGTAGCGACCTGTAGTAGCTCCAGTAAGGATTACGTTGACCTGGTCGGATGTGCCCTCCTCCTAGCCAAAAACATCAAAAACCGGGGGAACAAGGATTTCTTCTTTTTCTTTCCAGCCTTTGGTTCTTGGAATGAGTCAGTTTCATTATTGCTTACATATGACTTCGGGCTTGAAGCATAATGGGCAGGGACAGCAGCATCAGAGGCCCGATCGGCCATAGCTTCTTTCCTTCCCTCAAAGCTAGCCCTCGGGCTTTTAACGGGATTTACAGCAGTTTGACCAGATTCGGTTGCCTTGCGACGTTGCTCGTGTTCTGCCCTCCACTTTCTCAACTCATGTTCTACTCCCAACTTCCCGTCCTTGGCCTTCTCAGCCTTCTCCATCGCAATCCTGAGTGCTTCTTTTCTAGCAGCCATCTCCCGGTTAACTTCTTCCAAATTCTCCCAGCTTCTTAATTCAGATTCCTTGGCAAACTCAATTTGAGAAATGGCAGATGCAACCCTCGCATTTGCCTGCTCCTCTGCCTCATGGGCCCGTTTGCTTAGCTCATAATACTCCTCTAGAGAAAGTGTTACCCCTGTGGGTGAATCCACATCAGAGTTTCTGGCGGATTCACTCTCTTGCAAGGCCTTAATTGCTGCTAACGCCAATTTTTCTGATGCTTTAGCAGCCTCTATTTCCTTTTGTGCTGCGAGTAACCTACTCTCTATCGTACTTGCTCCGGCCTTTGCTTGCTCTGCTTCTTCCTTTGCCTTTCGCAGCTCTTCACGAGCCATTTGAGCTAGTGACTTAGCCTGGTCAGCCTCCTGTGCAGCTTGCTGTAATTGCCTAGGTATCTCAACCATCATTTCTCTGACTTCTTTCTCCTTCATCTGGACAACAGCTATTTCTGACTTGGTGCTGTTCAGTTCTGCTTCAAGAGATGCAACAGCCACTGATGCCATTCCTTCTCTCTGCCGAATGGCGGCAAGGGCCGATTTCTCAGTTTCAAGTTCTGTTTTTAACGAGGTGGCAGCCACCCTCAAGCAATTCACTTCAGCAATAGCTTTCTCTATGTTAAGCTTGACTTCCTCAAGCTCCTTCTTTGCTGAAGCAACTGCTAACTGTATATCAGTATGAGTTTTCTTTAAAGGTTCCTCTATGTCTCCTTTTGACTGTCCTTCATTATTTTCCTCCTTCAACTTTGATTCCATGTATGCAGCTAATTCAGCTTTCAAATCAGCAAGCAAGGCTGAGGCAGTGTCCAATTTCGATTTGAGATCCTTCGCTGATAGAATTTGCTGGTTAAGTCTCTGGAGCTCCTCTTCAGCTTGTTTTAGTTCCTTCTCCCAATTAAGAGAATCTTGCTCCGTGGCCAAGGCTGCTCCTATTCTTTGTTCCTCTGCTTCGAGATGGGCAGCATGTGCAGACTCCAATGACTCCTTTGTTGCAATCAGCTCAATAGTCAGTTCTTCTACTGTTTTCTCAACCTCCTTGGACGCAGCAACAGCCTCTTCAGCCCTCTTTACAGCTACGTCCTTGTCAGTCACCAAAGAAGCATATTCTTTACGCAGTGCTTCTAACTCTTCTTTAACAGATTTCAGCTCCGTAACAGCAGCTGTATGCCTAGCCTTAGCAACCTCAAGCTGTGCCTTGGCAGCAACACTAGCCTCATCGGCAATACCTTGCTCCATCTCTTCCACTCGGAGCTTGGCGAGTTCAGAGTCTTGTTTTGCTTGATGCTCTTCTGTTTGTGCTCTCTCTAGGTTGAGCTTCAATTCTTCAATGAGCCTTTTAGTGCTGTCCAACTCTTTTAGTACTTGCACTTTTGCCTCTTCAGCAGTCTCTGATCTTTTCCTGTAATCAGGAACCTCCTCCTGCACTTTCTCAAGCTCTTGTTCTACAAGTTTGCGTCTCTGTTTAGCCAGAGAAGGAATATTACATCGTTAAACATACATATCGACCATACTCTACTTTGCAACCAAAGAAGCAGCTTATACAATATATAAGAGCAATGTTACAAGAAATCATATTTCTTTTTCTTTCTGAATTTCACAAAATAGTTGGGAACGGGGAAAAGAAAAGGTGTAAAAAAAAATGAATAAACAAAACTGGAAAACATGTGTATGTATACCTCTACAGTTTGGATTTTATGGGCTTTCCAATCAACAATTCCTCCAAACTTAGAAACAGCTTCTTTAACAGACTCAAAAGGTGCCGTTGTATCGATGAGGCCTCTGTTTACGTCAAGTGGCTTAGCATGTTTAGGAGAATCAGCACTTTCTTGTTTTACGACAGTAACTGCAGCAACCTTTGTGTTGGGAAGAGCAAGCTCAACAGATTGCACCACGTCATCATTTTTATAATTTGTTGCCTCTGAAAAGGAAGCAGAGGGAGCAGTTGCGGGAAAATCTTGTGCAGCTGCATTTTCAGAATTTCCCACCACGTTACTGTGATTTTCTGTATCATTTTCTTTGCCTGTACTTTGGGATGCTGAAACATTAGAAGTATCCTGTAAAGGTTGGTTTTCAGAACCTTCCACCGCAACACCCTCACTCTGGGTCTCTGTTTCATTAATTACTTCTGGTGAGGTCAAGGCTGGAGAATCGGATAGAACAGGTTGACTTTGTTCTACAGATGGGCTATCAGATGCTTGACTTTGTTCCGTGGTTGTTGAGCTAGATGCCTGATTGTCTGTTGGAGGAAGTTGGTCTTGCTCAGAAGCATCTTGTGCAGTTGTTAACTTCGAGTTTCCAGTCATCAATGACTCACCGTTGTTTTCGAGTTTTCCATTCAGAACTGGGTTTTCTGTAGTCTCATTACTAGAATGATCATCATGGTTGGACAATGAAGAGGACTCTGGTGGTAGCTGTTCGCCATTTTTCACATCCTCCATTTCCACAAAGTGGTAGAAGTGCCCGAACTAGAAGGATATCCCCTATTCTAAGACAGAACTGAACCAGCAAAAAGGTAAACGATTAATCACATGAAATATATTACCTCGTCCATATAATTCAGAGTACAAGAAAATAAAAAACTTGCAATAATTTGTACTAAAAGACCTCTAGAAGGAATATAACCTTATACTCCTATTTTTTGGACGCCATACAATCATCTCAAGCTTATTACTAAAGATGAAAAACATTTCCTTAATAGTAGCTCATGCTTCTATAATCTCCCAGCACTTAGCACTTTCACCCAAAATGAAAAAGTGTTTAAAAAAAAAGGAAAAATCATATATTAATAATTACAATTGCTATCTTTCAAAAGAATGAGCATTAAAATTATTTATAATCGCATAAGACATACCAACCTTTCACCATACATGTAAAAGGAAATAAAAAATGAAAAAGAAAATAACGGGAATATCCACAATGAGTCAACGGCATATATTTTCTGCCTTAAAACTATAGAACAATGTTCACCAACTTTTCCATTGCAATCTTGTTCATTCGTTTTCACATAATATTTATACTTCCCTATTTCTTTCCTTTCCTTTTATATATTTACATCAGTATAATCTTGAAACCAGACGACATTTAAAGCCAGACTCACGCCAAATTTGAAACAAAACTTATTCTGGATTCGGGTCTTGAACCGAACGGTTCTAATCTCCTATGCTTATTCTCCGAAAAATTATCTTGCTGGTCCAAAGTAAATTACCTTTTTCTTTGTTCTTGATTAGAAACAAAAAACAGGAAAATTCGAAAAATTGAAAAAAAAAAAAGTTTAAAAAGAAAAAGGATAAATCCTATAGAAGGTCGTCAGAAAAAGGGTTATTAACAACATATGAATTCACTGACAAAATACGGTTCCAAATTCGACAGCAAACCGAAAAAGACATAGTATCGCATGAATTGATTATTAAAATCGAAACCGAGAATTAGTGCTCTAATCACGGATTAAACATCGCAATCAAAACTGACAATTCCTTTTCAACAAAAATGAAAATCAAAAGGAAAGAACATACCGGATTAATAAACCAGAAACGAATTGAAAAAAAGGATGATGTTAGCAACGATTGCTGCAAAATCACAAAAAGAAAATTAACCAAAAATAAATTATACGAAAAATAAAGTTGGAAAATAGTGGAGCTAAAAATAGGAGGTGAGAAAAACGGGGAGAAATAGAATACACGTGAGTGGAGCTTACCTCCTCACGCAGACGCAGACTAGATCCATCTTTCTCTCCTTCACGATGATATTATTGTTATTATTTTTTTAGTTATTATTTTTTTAATTATTATTATTATTATTATCTATTAATATTTGTTTGGGTCCTTTTTTGGTTGGAAAATTTACACGGGTGTGGACCTGTGGTGTTCATGAAAGTTCATAAATTGTAGGCAAAGGGAATCTTAGAAGACGACTTTTTAATATTATTATGGTTTGAGTTGTTTTGGGTTTTGGTTTTGGGTTTTGACTAAAACCGGAGACTCAGGAGGACCTGCTCGCCAAGTCACCCAGCCTTTCCCCTCGTTGTGGACCGTTTTTGTCCACCTCACCCTACTTTACAATTTTAGATAATTTGTCTGAGTGGTTGCTCTATTGTTTGTAATTGTCACTTTGGCATCTGAATATTTTGATTGTGACAAGCAACTCCCTATATTTAATTTTGAAAAAGGTGTAGTCTGGTTAGTGTGGATTGAGAACGATCTTGTGGGTTTCTTTAGAAGAGCCAACCTCTTTCCATTTGTGTTGAAGTTTTTTCTTCTACTCTCTAAACCATATATTGTATTTATTTTTCTTTAACTTATTAGGTTTTTTTATTATAATTAAACTATATAATTTCTGCAAGAGTACTATGTGTATAGGGATTACATATATTTAACATTTTACAGATTTATTTGATTTTGAGATGGTTATAGCTTTATTTCTTTTTTTCTGTTCTTTAAAGTCTTATTTGAGACGGTACTCTCTGAAAAAAAAAAAAAAAACTATATAATTCAACTTTAGATTAGATCACGTACGTGTCACATGATAAATTCCATCAAGAATATAACATATGTTACTATATTTGATTAAGATTGCAAAGAAATCAATAATATAAGGAGTTGATTATGGAAATTAAATTTTGAGGGACTGAAGTGAAAATAATTGATTAATTCAGGAACCAAGCGGACAAATCACCTTACTAATTTTTCCCATGTTATTTTTCTTTTGTATTTTTTTTCTATTTTTAAACATTTGTTTTGTACTGGTTTCTGTTTTTGTATTAGTTTTCCTTTTTTTTTTTTGGGCGGTAGTTTTTATTAATTTTCTCCCGTCATAAAATTCTTCTCCACCAGTTTTGTTTTGACTTTTTCACTTGACAGACCGTTGTTTTATTCCAAAAATTAGTAATAATAGAGACACGGGATGGGATTTAAAAGTTTGAAACGAAAATGAAGTGAATGTTTAGATTCAGAATCATAATTAATAATTATTTTTGATAAGTTTATATTAAAATTGTGTATTTCATAATCTAATGCAAAGAGCATAAAAAATAAATAAATAAAGAGTATTGTAGTAGTATCATTTTACCAGCTCTTGTTAAGAAGTGCATTAAAAACAATATTTAATCTAATACCACTTGTCCCCTATACTTGTCGGTAAAGTATATAAGCCACATACAATAGCTATGACACTCTCATCTTATACTGGCTCCACTTAACTCTATTTGTGAATCATCCACATGTATCAGAGGATTTGTAAAACTGCAATCTTCCAAACCAGTTATAGTTTTTAGGAGTTTTAGGAGCAGATTAAATGCATTATTAGTAATTTTTTACTTTTAATTATTAAATTTATATGAGAAATTGTTTACTTTGTAATTCTTTTTAATATGATACGATTCTGACTAGAGTTAGAAATCTAAGGTTCTATCTAGAGTCTTTTTTTAGACAAATTATTACTTGTTACAATTAAATTAGGGGGAAAACGCATAATAATTGAGCTATACTGCACGGCTCATGACACAAAAGTGACTCCGTGCTAATGAAGTTTTAGATAAAATAAATAAAGTAACCGCCCGCCACGGATGGTGTCTCTACCTGCTTCGTAGAGCGCGTACCAATGAACTCCCGTACGAAATGACCGTTATGCCCACACGTTTTCCTAATCCGCAATAACCGGCGCTTCTCACATGATTAGCTGGCATGGCAATCCGGTAAATACGCGTTAACGCCACTCGATCTAAAAACACGGTGCGCTGAATAAAGCACAAAGATGGCCCCAACGGAAAAATCCAAACCAGAAAAGACGTGGAAAAATATTTTAAATGGACAAATATGAGCAAAGCAGCTCCGGATAATAAATTAATAAGTCACGTTGTTGGTATTGGTGGGGTCTAAAACACAGGAAAATCAGAACCGTTATATCATGTTAGGAGTTTAAGAGTTTGTTCTTTTAAGTAAAAAATTTAAAAAAATGTAACTCGAGTTATAATTTTATTTGAGTTCATGTTCTTTTAAGTTTAAATTTGAGTTTAAATTTGAATTTAAACTCGAGTTTAAACTCGAGTTTAGGACTAAAACTCGAGTTCAAGTTTCCCCTTCAACTCGAGTTCAGAAACTCGAACTTAAATTAATGAACATTATTTTTTCTATTCTTAAAAATGCTATAACTTTTTCGTTTTTATTCTGATTGAGATGATTTTTTTTCTATGCGTTGACAACGAAAAGACGAATAAAACCCGACCCATATACCCTATTAAAATTTTTCTTCAGCATTGAGTTTTTATTAAAATACTATCTAAATACAAATTCAAGTTTTGATTCACTCAAACACAAACTCAAAAAGATTTTTATCTCAAACCATAACTCAAATGTACACAACCAAACACAAACTCAAGTTACAAGTTCAACTCAAATTCAACTCAAGAATTATACTCAAGTTAAACTCCAATATAAATATTAATATTGTGATATAATATATTATTTTTATTTTTATTTTAATATATAATACTATTTAAAATGTTAAATTTATTTATTTTTTATTATTAATCTTTAAAAGACGTAAAAATAAATTTTTAAGAAAATATAAAAGTTATAATAATTACGTGAAAAAATAAACATTTTAATTAATAATAATTAAATGTCAAATTTTTATATGTTATATTTGGTATAAATTTTATCATAAAATATAATATATGAGAAATTTAACATAATAAATAATATTATATTAAAAAATATTTTTTATACTTAAATATTAAAATTTTAATTAACACATCAATTATAATATTATATTTTGAAGAGAAATCAATCAAGGGAATTCTAAATCCCAAAGCAGGCTTTTTGGGAAGCAATTTGAAGGCTTGGAATGGTTAGTAGATGAAGCTTCCATTTTGGGTGTCGTGTGCTGTGTGCTGTTCTGCATGGGAGAGTGAGAGCTTTAGGAGGATTGGAATTTGTGGAGGCAATTTTGCACTATTTGGATAAGCTTTTTTTTATTTTTTTTATTTTTTTTTAGGCTCTGATCTTGCCACGTCAGACGCTACGCAGGAATATGCTTATCAATCCAACCATTACAGATTTACTGTTACCAAATGCCAAATTTAATTGCATTTGGTCTTTTGTGCCAGTAAGAACGTTGGCACTCATGGAAGACTGACACACAAATGTTTTTATGCACGGAGTGTGTGCATAGGAGGGGTTTCTCAACGCGTTTGTGTTTGATTGTGTGAAATTTAAGAGTCCGTTTAGTTCGCTGATTTGAGTTTTTAATTCAAGTTAAGATGTGATTTTATGTGAGCTTTTTACTGTAGTAAAAAAATTAGATGTGACTGTTTATGAGAATTTTTTATTGTAATAAAATTTAAATTTTAAATTTAAATTGATAAAATGAACAGATATTCGTAATGAAAAAGCGTTTCGTTTGTTAAGAAAATCAGATTCCTATTTTTTAGATGCCATTTTTGTACTACCAATTTCTTTCATTGTCTCATTTTCCTGTTTTTAATTTCCCTCTTTTTTTTCTTTTTTTATTTCCCTTATTAGTACTTTAAGTTGCTTTTTTATTTTAGCTTGATAAATACGTAAATTTTGCTCATTGGTACATTTAGTACTGGAACTTTGGACGGGCCGCCCGTGACCACCTGAAAAACCTGAGTTTTTGTCCGAACCCGAGCCCGAGCCGCCCGCCCAAGCCCGAATTTTACCTTGAACGGGCCGCGAGTTTGTATTAAGCGGCCCGAGCCCGGCCGAATTGCCCGGATTATTTAAACTTTTTTTTTAATATTAAGTTATTTTGTGTTAAAATTTATATATATATATATATTACAATTTGAAATGAACACATGAATTATATAAAAAAATTATTTCTTTATTAATTTTTAAATTTACAATTCATGATTGCCTCGTTAAAAACCTTACCAAGAAAAACCTAATTGGGATAAAAACTTGGCAAGAAAAAAAGAGTGCAATCATTTTGTAACGAATTACAAATTGTATAAACTTACATTGTTTATTAAATTACAAATACAATGTAAAAAGTAAATACATATTTACAAATTACAAATTTACAATTTAATTTGAAGCTGAGGGATCGTCTTCAAAATTAAATGTTAATCGATTAAATTCATCGATCCATTCTTGACTTGCCGGTGAAATTATATCTTGTAGACGTTGATCGGCCCGATCCTAATCCTTAATGCAAACCAAGGCTTCAACATTGAGTGACTGGGCTTTTAAAATAGAGATCCTCAAATAGCGATGAAGTTATTAAACCAATCATTGAGTGACTTTTGATAAAATTATTAATTTACTGTGGTATGCAAGTAGAAAGTTACTTTGATATAGAGTCACAAAGAGATTGAAGAAAGTGGAAGAAAAAAGAAGATAATTAAGAGGATGAGGAGAGATTGTGAACAGAAAAATAGATAAAGATATAAAGAAGAGTGATATAGAGTAGAAAAACATGAGTATCTATAAGAACAAAACCAACATTATATAGAAACAACACTTTTTTAAAATAAAAAATAATAAAAACGTAATGGCAATGTGTTTCTTTCCTTGTGTATATTGTTTTTTGAGGAATCCTTTTATCATGTGATTGATTATAAAAAATGTTCAAGAATGTGAAAACTGAAATATTAAACTGCTAAAATAGGAATTTGTTCTTTCTATTAAAGAATTGTGTATTTACCTTAATTAATAAGTTAAAAATTTAAATAACAAATATGGGCATTGGGTCTAGTGGTATGATTCTTGCTTTGGGTGTGAGAGGTCCCGAGTTCGATTCTCAGAATGTCCCAATTTGTAGCAACTAATATTTTCAGGCAACTCGGGTTTCGGGCAAAATTTGAGTTTTCGGGCTTATTTTCGGGTCGGGCAATCGGGCATGAACGGAAAATTTTAAAAACAATTCCTGCGGACGGCGGTCGACGGCACCTACACGGCGGTGGGCTCTGGCGTGGTCTCAAAATTTAGGCTGTCCGAGCCCGAACCCGAATTTCTACTTTGGATGGGCCGGCATATGGGCCTGCCCGCCCGAGCCCGAAAAAATTCACCACTAATACATCTAAATATGTCAATCGGGTAAGGGATGGTGACTGTTAATCTAGTATATATTATGCATTCAGCACTGGCTGCTGTATTTTTTCCCATTTTTCTTTGTGGATCAGATTTCGTGCTTAAAACAGGCCGAAGGTATTGGGCTTGTATAACCTGGAGATCGAATGCAACCGGAGACAGCCCCGGCCATGGGCTTTTATGTTGGGAAACCTAGCTGAGGAGGGATTTAAAAGATCGGAAAAAAAATTAAAAATACCACTAAGAACGGTAAATAATATTCTTTATGTTACTCTATTTAAAAATAAATAATTATTATTTAATTGATAAAAAAAGCTATAGTAAAATTTAATTATTTAGAATGATATAAATAATATGTCTTAGAAAAGTATGGGAAAACATCTACTTTTCACTTTGCTCTATAAACACTACTACATTCATCTCACACTTTCTGTCACTATAAATGGACATACGAATGGACAATTCTATAAAAATAATGCAAAATTAAAAAGGTGAGTTAAGAGAGAGTTGCTACTTTGTATTTGATTACTAGACCCAATTATTCTTTTGTTGTTAAGCCCAAAACTATACGTGCCAGCAACATTGAGAGGAATCTCTCTATGCTAAGAAAGTAGAAGAAGATGGAGAAAAGTATATGGTTTGTCATGATATCATGCAAGCTTATTATTTATGTTATTTTAAATAATTGAGTATCATTGTATTTTTTTTGTTTTCTCTTTATTAATTAAATGACAATTATTTATTGTTAAGTAGAGTGACAAAAATAATATTTTTTACTACATTTGAGTGGTATTTTTAGTTTTTTCCCTTAGAGATTTCTCCTCTTGTGTATTTTTTTTTTCCTTTCACATTACTTTGAAAAGCATAAAAATATAAAATAAGACACATAAAGAGACGAAAGCAAGACATTTCCTAATTTTCTCTATATTTTGTCATCTGCAGGATTTTAGGGGTGTTCATAAATAATTAGAACCCGAAAAACAACCCTACTACAAGGGTGAACCAATAATTCAGTGACACATCATCAAACCAATTAGTTACACAAACATGTTATTTAGAGAAACACAAGGGTATGTTGGTTTTTTAGTTATTGAATAAACACGACAATAATAATATTTATAGACTAAACACAAGGGCATTTAGGGTCTTTTGTCAATTTACGATTTCTATTGTCGTTTCTCTTTCGTCCTAAACGTGCACAGTGGAGACGGCAGTACTATTTCTGGGCGAAACAAATTATTTAAGAATAATAAAGACATTTTGCGCTTTCTTCAAGGATTTTTCACACAAACAACATATAAGATTGCAACTTTTTTCTTTGTCTTCTTATTTTTTAGGGAGATTTTATGGTAAGTGAGTATTTTGGGACAACTTTTAGAAAAAAAATAATAAAAAATTAAAAAACTTAAGAAACGCCTTAAAATATATTTCTTTTCGTTAATATGGGAAAGACGAAGGTCCACGCCGGCTGTACATGTGTAATTTATATGTCATAAATAGTAGAAAATAAGCCGATATGAAAAGCTTAAAGAAGTATATAAGCTAACTTTTAGTTATAGAAATTAATAGGTCATAATTTGTCAAGTTATGGTTCATAACTAGATAAGTTATAGATAAACTTGTCAAGTTATGGTTCAAACCAGACAAGTTATGGATAAAAATCATGATTTATGGACAATAACTTGTCAAGTTATGGTTCATAACCAGACAAATTATGGACAAAAACAGTAATTTAACCTATTTATTAACTTATGTAAACTATTGATCTATTAAATTTAATTCATCTCAAATATTACCTATTTCCCTATGCGTAATCTACCCCAAATGGGCCTATTTCCGTGTCTTCACGACAAAATTATGGGATCATATGCATATACATTTACGCCAATCAAACGTTTGCATAATAAAATTATGCATGATCATATGCATATACATCTAGTAGTAAATACTTAACCTTGCATCAACCACTAGAAAAAGGATCTCTTTTCATTTTGTTATATTATATATGCTAATCCCATGGATTTGGATAATTGTTAAGCTTAAAGTAATCTTAGCATATAAGATCCGTGGAAATGATCAGGACTAAAACATTGCTTTACAAAGGTCTTCTTAGTTGGTGCACCAAAAAAAAAAGTTATGTTCAACCAACCCAATTCTTTCCACTGGGGGTGTCCAATTTCTCTCTCAATACTTGCCTTGCACCCAAACCCAATCATTTTCTCGAACTGTTGCTCTTGGAATATTAATCTTTCGGCAATATGATAGAGACATATTATCAAACTCTTAACTGAGTTCATATATGTTGAAAGTTGTGCTTAAATTAGTAATTTTTCTGGTGATTAGTTAATTAAAGCATCTGTTGGCACACCAAATATTTTCCATTAGTTAAATAATTGGCTAAAGCAAACAATTATGATATGCTGCAGGTAATGCTATTCTTTCAATTGCAATATTATTACAACCACCGTATATCTTTATCAACAATACTTTTCCTTTTTTTTTTGTTGTTTTTTTTTTTTGATGAATAACAACAATACTTTTCCTTAATATCTATTGATAATAAATCAGTAGCATATTCATCGTTACAAAATATCTCTAGCGCTAGTTCATGATCTTTCTGTACTTCCAACAGAGAACAAAAAATTGGTCGTTGTCCTAATGATAATATTTGATAGTGAAAAAATTGTTTTCAAGGATTTTAACTACTAATTATAGAGCACAGTGATTTCTTTTCATTTGATCTTCACATATCCAACAAAAGATAATTATCAGAACAGCATGCGCTGTTTCAACACTAAAATAACAGGATATCATGATCGTTTAACTTTCCACTCACGGGGAAAATATTTCTATATCTAACCACCAAAAGGATAGTCAACATAGCTATCGTCTTTTTTTCTTTTTGGTGAATGGTAGTCAACATGTTTATTATTGTTTAGAAATGATTTTTCATGCTAATTAGAAAGGGAAAAAAAAATTAATTTTCAAGAGCGTAACTATATTTTGTTTTAAATTCCTTGCACAATATATATATATATATATATTCCGAAGTTTTGGACATAATTATTTATTCCTTTGAATACACTCCAACTCTAAACGCGCGCTTAAGTTTCTTAGCTAAGTGTAAGTAGTACGTACGTTTTTCAAAACAACCAAAAGCAATAAACAATTTATATATAAATAATTTTGTTGCGATGCTTGAGCACCTCAATGTTCCTTCAACTAATTAAGGTCGGGATATCTAGCTAGTAATTAAATATCAAAACGTACATATATAATTGTTTTCTTCTCCTAGGTACAGTTTTCACCCTCCAAACACAAAGTATTCAGACCGTCGAAAATCAATTAGCAGTTTTGTTATAGGATACATAAGATCTACATAGTACTGATGAAATTAGTAATTTCCAACTGTGATCATGTTTATAATAATTAAATTAATATAAAAGTCCAGAGATCCAATCTCACGATAACCCAACACTCGAACCTTTGACCATAATTTCATAAGCCCGCCACAATGAGCTTTAACCACTAGACCACCACACTTGGGGTCTCTCTGTGAAGTATTTAGTATATCATACTATGCGCTACTTGAACATTGCTAATATAGAAATTTTATAATTCGTCGTTTGTTCTTATGGAATCATACTGCAGGTATATATCTAGCTAATTAGGAAAAAAAATGAAGAAAAATATCATTGAAACGAAAAACTCCGATTAATGTGCTTGTAATCTATTCACACTGCATAAATTATTGGCAAAAGAACTGGACACAACAAACAATATCGATCATGTAACTTTTAAACAAAAATTTAAGGAAAAAAATCCTAATCTTTAACCAAATGAGAGCGTCTAGGATCTGTAATATTGATCCTCCAATGCCCATTGACCAATCCCTTCTTCCTAGCAATCCTCCTTTCCCACTCCAACTCCGTCTTCCTCCTCTTCGTCAACCTGCAAAAGCTCTGCAACTTCTCGTCCATGGCGTCGTAGACCTTCCACCATCTATGATGTGCCACGTCACTCGCGTACACAAAACTCTCCTCCACATCCCAATTGCAGTCATAATCTCTGTAACACAGCCATGGCTTCCACCCCAAGTAATGAATAGCGTAAACTTTGGGCGGATCGGCACCGAAAAGCTCGTTCTTAAAGCTGATTTCATTAATGGTGGAATTGGACCAGAAATCCTTCAAGAAGTTGACTCTCCTTGGAAGGCGGTGCCACCAGACGAACATCTCGTTGAGGAAGCCCTGGTCGCCGCCGTTGTAAGAAACGACGTCGTTTCGGCTTTCCATGAAGACTTTGAAGGTGCAGTTGGAGGGCTCGAGGACCATTATGCCGGAGTTGAAGAGGGAGAAGTCGTTGCCGGCGGCGGTTATCTGAGGGAAGTGGAAGAGGAGATCGAGGTTTCGGAGTACGATGATGTCGGCGTCGACGAAGACGATTTTGTCGTAGTCGGTGAGCTGCCAGAGCCGGAACTTGCTGTAGTTGTACTCGTTGTAGGCGCCCTTCTCGGCGTTGGGGTTGCGGATGCGCGTTATGACGAGGATCTGCCACCCGGCGGAGGCGAGGGCGGCGCGCTTTTCGGCGGAGATGGAGTTGTCGATGAGGAGTATGAGGTCGCGGTCGGTGCCGCTGCGCCGGAGGCTCTGGGCTAAGGTTATGGCGCCGCAAACGTACGCTTCGGAGGAGTGGAGGACTGTGGCGTAGGCCTCTCGTTTCTTGGATTTCTTCTTTAGATAACTTGTGCTGCTGCTTTGGATCTTCGTCACGTCGTAGATGTCGTGGATTCCTGTACAATATGCGTATTAATTTGTGTTTTTGTTATAAACTTACGGGTTGTCCTTTAGTATATGTTTGTATATTGTAATTGCCAGCATTACAACTCACTTGCATGCAAGTTTTTGGATCCCTGGAAGGATCTATCACACAAGTGGTGGTAATTCCAGGCCAATGATATAATATTTAACACTTTTTTTTGGGAAGTCGGAAACAGCCATGCACTTTAAGGTTTAAGCCAATTGATCATTTTTTTTGGTTGTCGGTTATGTTCCAATCTTTCCAAACTAAAGATATCTATAAGGGAACAAATCTCATCAAGCGCCTGTAGCTCAGTGGATAGAGCGTCTGTTTCCTAAGCAGAAAGTCGTAGGTTCGACCCCTACCTGGCGCGTTATTTATTTTCTAAACAATGTCCATTTTTATCATTCTTTCTTCCCAAATAAATTGTGTCATTTATATTTTGCCGAGTTTCATTTTTTATATTTCTTCCTAAAATATCATTCTTTTTATTTATTTTTATCATTCTTTCTTCCCAAATAAATTATGTCATTTATATTTTGCTGAGTTTCATTCTTTATATTTCTTCCTAAAATATCATTCTTTTTATTTATTTTTATCATTATTTCTTTCTAAAATATAATTCGATAAAATCACTTCCATCCAACAAAAAAAGGATATAAAATTAAATTTCTTTTAATTTCTCAGTTTTTTTTTTAAAATTAATTCCTCAGTTTTTGTACTAAAGGTGTAAAAATATATGGAAATATGTACGTATTTTTACGTACCTTGACCCCAGAGCGGCAGAGCCAACTGGCAAGAACCGACCGGCAACGACAACTTTTGCTCCAACTTGGGGATCTCCGGCTCAAAGAACCACCAATTTCCTTGTCGTTTCACCAACTCGCTGCACCTAAACAGCTCCATCATCGGCCTACACTTGCTCCAAAACACCACTCTGGTCCTCTTATTCCAATCCCTCTTCCCTTTCTTCACAGCCAAATTCGCCACTACCAGATGAACTTGCAGCCTAAACACGTCCCTCCTCTCCTTCTCATTGCATGGAAGTTTCGCCAATATCACGTCCATCTTCCCGTACCTTTTGAAATCCGGCATCGGAACCTCCGGACACGACGGCACGTCGCTCTCTTCCTCTTCGTCGATCCACTCGGGAAACAAATCCTCCCACTTGAAAAAATCCGTCACGTGATCGAAATTTACAGCAATGGTTTCTCCTAAATACTTTCTATTCCACTCACTCACATCTTCTTCATCCATGTTCACCATCCCAATCTTCTTCTTTCCCTTCCCCAACATTTTCTTCAAGAAGCTTGGAATTTCCAATTCATCATGACTACTAGTAGTCTCGTTTATTAATCCTATATTTTTGGACTTGTTATAATTTGGCAAATTAATATTGGACTCATCATGATCAGTCGACTCCTCCAAGACAGCCTTCACCTTGATTCCATTTTCATCCTAACACGTAATCAATGTTAATTTAGTACATAATCGAGATTATACTTTTAATGCATATGACATATATTAATACCACCAAAAGTTAAAAGAAAAAGGAGGTGTAAGGCTCACCTTACCTTGTGATGGCATTCTCGAATAGAGCATCTAACAAGAGAAGCTGCGTTTTCGTGATAGACCGAAAGAGATGGCCGGAGAAGAAGAGCGGCGTAGACAATGATGAAGAAAGCGAGGAAAACTAGATTGATTCTGATGACCAGAGCTTTTGAAGGAGTGGCCTTTATGATCCTTTGAGGAAAGCCTAGTCCTTCAACCATCTTTTACTAATTGCCTAGAAATATTGGTAGCAGGTGTTACCTGACGATCGGAATATATTTGCAACTGTTTCTATGGTTTTCAGTTTAATAGGACTCACTAATGATGATGATTAGAATAATTGGAGGCTGGTTTGGCTGTAGTGGTTAGAGAGCTTAATAGAGAGCGAAATTAGAGTAAAGCTTAAAGAAAGTCACACCATTTGTAAAGCTCCATGTGTCGCTTCCTTGGTTTGGAATTTGGATTTCCGTAGAGACAAAAATAGTCGGAGAGAACGAAGTTTTTACTTGGGCTTTATTTATTTATTTATTTATTTTTTTTAAATGGTGAATTCCCCGTGTTTCTGTTCCACGTTTGATGCCCTTAATCCATCAGGTTGAGAAAATAACTAGTGGCAATATTCCAGTAGTGTGGAAGCTAAGGCTGGGGGTAAAATAGTAATTCCGTTTGTTTACGTGAAAAATTAGGTAATGGGAATCTTGAAGGAGGGGGCGGCTTCCCTCCAACAACTACTCGGTTAAGGCGTCAACTTCTTACAATGCAATGCGGTGTCGCTTTTACTCGTTACAAAATTGCGAGGCTCCACCAATTTACAATTTGTTAATGATTTTCTCCTTTTTATTAATGCAGTGGACAAAATTTTTAGTTCGGACATCAAACGCATCAAAGGCTCCAAAATGATTATTGGGCATGTTTTGCACGACACTTTTTAGATAGTATGGTAAGCTATCACAGCTTCACTCATTTTTTTGTCAACCTCTTGATGTTAGACCAACTTATAGTAGGCCCTAACTTATTAGCAATGCCTCCTCAACACACTCCTGAAAAATCCTGACCATTTCTGAATGAGAAATTGGTTCTGGGGTGGGTCAATATATGCATTACCATTAAGTAGTTTCATCATTACCACATCACCAGTTGCTTTTAAGTCAGCCACTAATATTCTGGAGACACACAAAAAAAGATCAACTCATTAATCTGCAAGGTCACACTTAACTAGCCGGCGGAGAATCAACATTGCTCCTCTAAGCGACAACGTGACATTGTTGTCAACTATTAAGGGAAATTTTTATGTACAAGACAGGGAGGCATGTTGGGAGAGTAAGCAAAAGTCGGATACACAAGTGTAAGGCTCCTTGGGAAACAAACACGTGCCACTAAATCCCAATAGAAGTGGAAGGACATAATATTGACTGATTCTTTTGGATAAGGACCTTCGGTAGTGGCACAAAACAAAGCATTAATATGTGAGAGTTTTGTAAAGAATCAAGGTCTTAAATACAATGTAACATTAAGAATGAAAAAAGGTACTTTAATTAGTATTAGAATACTCTAAATAGTACCAAAATGTAAATAAAAGGTTGATCAAACTGTACACATACAATAAAACCAATCCCCTCAATTTACCCAACTTTGGCAAATAAAAATGACATCCATCATTGTTTGAAGGTTGTTTCGTTCTATATTCTTTTTCAAGCTTAGCTTCCCCTCAACATTTCTTTGACCAGCTGCATGTGTCAAAGAATGTACAATGTCACAAGAGAGAGAGTGAGTGCGAGAGAGAGTTTGCGGTGAATGATGACTCACCTGCTTGGTTGTGAGTCATGGGATTTTGTAATGAACTCACTGCTTCTATAAAGATAACTTCAATGTGGTCAGTTAAAATCATGCTCTGCGCTTCACTTTTTGCTCACATCTTGAATGTGCTGGGAGAAACTTTTGCCAGGTGGAATAAAAATCAAATCTTCCCAACCCGAGTCCTTTTCACTAACCTGCATATGATCCAAATGAAGTAATTCACAAGTTTCTTAAATTACTACAAGAAGTAAAAAGTTATAGCAGTGACTAGATCAAATACCTCCATTTTCCTTAAAACATCTTCCAGACTACCAACCTGTTATTAAGACGGTTCATCATTATAAGACGAGCACATAACAACAACAAAAATTGAATAGACAGGCAAATCCTGCAAACGTATGAAGCAAGCGTGCGCGTATGCATTGCGACATAAAAATATTTGCAAAGAGCTGTATTTGAAGTGATAAGTGGGATGCGCTTGAAGCTTAAAACCAACAAGAAGCTGTGCCAAATAGCACATGGCTTTCTGTCCCTAAAGGAAGCAATTTATTATTGGAATTTTATTTTAAATTCAGCAAGGGAAGGACAGTCATATTTTTTGACAGATGAAATACCGTCTCTGAAAATCTTAAATGAACAATTATAGTTAAAACCAATATTTCGTTGTACTCACAAACTCACGCAGTTAAAATACTTCCAACAAATAAATGAAGGAAACACGACTTTATCGCAAGTAATAGTACCAGAATATTTTGAGAAACCCCTGGGCCTCTTGATGCCCTAGAGACCTTACCCAGCTCATTTTCTATATCTTCCTGCATAGTAACATATAGAAATTAACTAGCGAATGACATGTTCATATCATGCAGATGCCTAACAAATGTAATCTTAGCTAAGAAAATATTTGTAGTAAACCAAGTTCTCAAACCAACCTTAGTAAAATATATTGGGCAATAACGCTTGTTTTTCTTCTTCACAACCAGTAGGTCTGACTGTAATCAGAGATAACTAATTAGATGACGAACCAAAAATCAAGCATACATGCAAGGAGGATTGGTAGTTAAAAAAAAATGACTTGCATTAGCATCCGACATGTGACAACTGATGACATATGACAATTTTACAATCTGCAAACTAACAGTACAAAATCCCACATAGCTAGGCAGTCTCCTACATACTAAACTTGTAAGTGGAATGAAACTCCACATACCGCAATGTGATATCTACCAACAAATAGTAATTGAATTGAATACAATTCCCTTGCTCTACACTTTCTTTGTGCAAGGCCTCAATTAAGTTGAGTCATTTCCCTGTCAACAGTTAAGTTTCTTTCACCCCAATTTTGATTGGACAACAGGCATGCGCACACATGCATACATGTGTATCAACGGCAGCTAATGAGTCATTACTAAGTAGGAGCTATCCAATTTAAGGATAACCTAAAATAAGATTGATCTTTGCTAAAGCTGATTTCAACCAAGATGGTAGATTGAACAATTAAATTAGTATACCTGAAAAACAGGAACTCCATTGAATCCATTCTTGAGATCAGCGGCTTTGAGCTAGCACAAGTAATGATGATCGTAAGACATCTTAATTGTATCAGAAAATATGATAATAAAACTATAAAACATGCAATTATAACACCATAAAACAGTATCATATAAAAGAGCTCAAATATATCCGGAAATAAGTTATATTATCCCCTTCATGAAGCAAACGCAATAAATGAGCTAACAAAGAAACCCTATAATACGACCAATGCTAGTAAAATAGAATCATGTGACACTTAGCTTAGCAGAGTAAGGTCAATTCATATTCTGTAATAGAACATTAGGGGGGGGGGGGGGGGGGGGGGGGGGTGGCTGG